ATCGCTTCACTTATCTTGGAAGTCTCATCAGCCCTTGTGGTTTGGTGTGTGACAAAATTTTAGAACGGATACAGAAGGCTCGACTAGCTTTTACCAACTTGCGTCATTTATGGCGTAGGCGAGATATCCGTCTACCAACCAAAGGACGTGTTTACTGCGCAGCAGTTCGTTCCGTCCTACTTTATGGCAGTGAAACATGGCCGGTAAGAGTAGAGGATATCCGCAGGTTACTAGTATTTGATCACAGGTGTCTTCGAAATATTGCTCGTATGTCCTGGGACCATCGAGTAAGTAGTGCAGTTGTTAGGAAACGGGTACTAGGTAAGGATGACAAATCGATTGATGACGTAGTGAAACTTCATCAGTTGAGATGGGTGGGACACGTGTTATGTATGCCCAACCACCGACTGCCTCGACGTGCGATGTTCAGTGGTATAGGAGTAGGTTGGAAGAAAGCTAGGGGCGGCCAGACCAAAACATGGCAAAAGTCCATGAAGTCACTGACAAGTGGTCTGAGTCATGTTGGTAGGTGTAGACTACGTGGTTGGGTACCGCGAGATGATAGCAACCGATGGTTAGAGACCCTGAATAACATGGCTCGAAATCGTTTGCAATGGCGCAGGTGCATCCACTCTTTGTGTTCTCCCAAATTTTGATCTTATTCCTCCTTGTCTCTTTTTTCTCTTCCCAAATTTATTTCACTGTATTATACTCTTTAAATAACATCTCCAAACACTAATCTTCCCGATTACTGCTTATACTCTTATTACCTCTACCACTACGGGATTTGAATTGACCACTGCATCTCTGTGCTAATGTGGTACGGCAACTCGAACTGATGTACGTACGTACGAAGTTCTACGTTGATACTGACTGACTGACTCGTATTGAAAATTCGGACTTTGATGTTGGTTGACAGTTGTTTTGAGTTCCATATGTTCTTCAGCTGTAGGAATGCGATCCTTGCTTTGCCAACCCTCACCTTTACGTCTGTATCAGATCAGGAACGTGAAAGACTCCACCTCTTCCATAGTTTCTCCATCAAGTGTGATTTGGTTGGTGTTCTCCGTGTTGTATTTGAGAATCTTGCTTTTTCCCTTGTGTATGTTGAAGTATACTGATTTAGAGGCTTGCTACACTAGTTGGTTTGACCCGCCTTTGCTGATGTGTTTGGGATAGAAGGACCACGTCATCTGCGAATTCCAGATCATCTAGTTGCATTCAACTTGTTCATTTTATTCCGTGCTTCCTGTCAAATGTCGAGGTCTTCATAATCCGGTCAACCACCAGATAAAAGAGAAAGAGGGGAGCAGGCAGTTTTGTCTGGCTGCGGTTTTCACTTGAAATGCGTCTGTCAGCTGTCCTCCATACACCACTTTGCAGTGTCGTCTGTCGTACGAATTCCGTGTGACGTTGAAGATCTCAGGTACTCCATAGTGTTGAAGAAGGTTCTATAATGTTGTCGTATCTACTCTGTCAAATGCCTTCTTATAATCAAGGAAGTTGATGTATAGTGACAAGTTCCATTCAATTGGCTTTGTCTGTGCACGACCAATCCTTACGGAATCTAGCCTGTTGATCTCGAAGCTGGATGTCTACTGAATCTTTCATCCGGTTCAACAAATGTTAAAGTTTTGTCCTGTTACCGATGGTAGTGTGATGCCTCTGTAGCCCAGTTCTCACATTTGCCCAGATCTCCTTTCTTTGGCATCTTGATAAGATATCCTTCTTTCCAATCAGTCGGCACTTGTTCTTCCTCCCAAATCTTCCTGAATGGAGTGTGAAGCATGTTTTCAGTTACCTCTATGTCCGGTTTTAGTGCTTCAGCTGTTATGTTGTCATGTCCTGTTACTTTCCCACTCTTTATTTGTCTAATAGACATCCTGATTCCTTCGATCGTTGGTGGAGTGACATCTATAAGAAGGTCTGTGTGTGCTGCTTCGATGTCTAATGGATCCAATGGAGCTGGTCTTTTCAAGAGTTCGTCAGTGCTCTACCTAACTGTTCCTCTGTTCCTGAATCTCAGTGATTAGCTTGCCTTCTTTGTCCTTGACCGGTCTCTCTGGTTTACTATATTTCCCTGTAGTTTCTTCGTTGTCATATAGTTGTTTCATATTTCCTTTTCTTGCAGCTTTTTCCTCTATCGTTGCTCAGTTTTCCACGTATTTCTGCTTGCTGGCTTTAAAGTTCTTCACTTGCTTGTTTGCTTCCGCATATTCAGCTTGTGCCTTAACTTTCTCTGCTCTTCTTCGGCTATTGTTAATTGCTGTCTTCTTGTTCTTCCTTTCTTGAATCTTTTCCATGGTTCCCATAGAAACCCATTCCCTATGACGATGCTTGTTGCGATCCAGAACCTCCTGACACGTTGAAGCTAGTGCTCCTTTGATCCCTAACCTGTTGTCCTCCATCGTAGTTTCTTTTTCTTTGAGTAGATCTTGTAAGGCTTGCAACCTGTTGGTGACAACTGTCTTGAATTCGTTGAGTTTGTTATTAAACCTTTGTAATGCTGCTTGTCCGATCGTCTAGTGCTTCTCTAGCTCCAGTTTCATTTTGGCAGCCACCTGGTGTTGATCTGAATCTATGTCAGCTCTTCTCTTGTTCCTCATGTCTTCCATTGACCTTCTGAATTTTTTACTGATGTAAATATTGTCTATCTGGTTCCCCGTGGTGTGATTTGGTGAAATCCATGTAGCTTTGTGTAGGCGTTTGTGTGGGAATATAGTGCCGCCTGTGACCAGTTTATTGAAGACACATAGCTTCGCAAATCTTTCACCATTTTTGTTTCTCTCTCCCAGTCCATGTCGTCCCGTGATATCTTCACATCCAGTGTTGTTTATTCCGACTTTGACACTTAGATCTCCCATCTTGATGGTGAGATCCTTTCTTGGGCACTTCTCTATGATTGACTGCAGACTCTCACAGAACTGATCCTTATTGTCATCGTTGCTATCATTAGTGGGTGCATAACATTGGATAACACTCATTGTATTTCCCTCCTTTTGTTTTGAAGGATGCTTTGATGGTCGTGGGTCATTTTATAAGTACATTTCGTGCTTCTTTGGACAGTATCAGAGGAACTCCCTGAATGTGTGGAGTATTTTCCTCTTCTTGACCGGAGTACCGCAGCATTTCTCCCAAATTTATCCTTCGCTGTCCAGTTTAGGTCCCATGGGTTTCTGTGATTCCGAGCACCACCAGGTTGTATCTCCTCATTTTCGTTGCTATTTGACTGGTCGTTCCAGTCTCCAACATTGCCCGGACGTTCCATGTACTTATAAAAATTTTTGCTCTGGTTGTAAGAGGGACATCAACCTCTTGACTTTCGAAGAATCTCAGCTTTAATCATGAAGCGTCATAAATCTTCCTTCAACTCACAGGACAGAGATTTATTGGTTTAAGTTATTTAGTCTGGTTAGCGTTTTTTCAGCAAGGTTCTTTTCTATGGGATTTAGTTGCCGACCACACTCCCAACTTTCTTCTTTTACCCAATCTTGAGATCGGCAGTAGCCCTGTAGGGGACGAGAACATAGGTGAGAACAATCGAATTTATTTTTTAACACAAAATTACAGGACTTAGTAAAATCCGAGAACCATACAGTAAATACTTAGTGTCAATCAATTGTCTCAGACTTCACTGTTCCCTCGTTTCCACAGCAATCATTCTATTCTCGTTCTCTTTTCTTCGATCTTCTTAACCTTCTGCTGCCAGATATTTCACTTTCGATTCATGATACATACTACTTATATCTATCGACATCATTAGCACACACACCAGCCCTACAGGCAGAGTTTGGTTTATATTTAGCAATAAATGAAAAACAAAAATTGTTTTTACTGTCGTTCCACCATTTAATCCTAATTGCTTTATCAATGTAATAAAGAGACATCATTAAAGTGTTACTTCGTGTTTTTTTACTTATTGGCTAATTCAAATTGCTAATAATGATATCATTTTTTAAATGCTCAAATTTTTTCAAGTCAATAAGTCAGTGACCGTACGTTAACCATCAACTGACAGATTAGTAGTCTGGAAGCTTGCAAGTGCGATTCTGCCCTCACGTTGTGGGGATACATAAAATGGATGCATTTATTTTACTGAATACAAGTTATTCTGGTTATATACAGAGGTGTTTCATGAAAGTGTCGCTTGTTGCATTTAAATCCAACTAATTTAACCGGTGTAATAGGTTTAGCTGTTCTTGCTTCATACAGTCCCATTGTGGTGTGAGCTACTTATATTGACATAAGTAGTATATAACGTGCGTTAAAAGGATGTAATGTCTGGCAGCAGAAATGGAGAAGATCAAGAAAAGAAGAGCAAGAACACAATGGAATTTGTAAGAAATCGCATGAACAATGAAATGGGAGACAATGGATTAGTGTTTGCAACTTGAACAGTACAGTTTGATATGATGCATTGATAATTTGCAAATTGACGATTAACTTTATGGTATTCAGATTTTGTTGAGATAGTCTGTAATTTTCGTGTTAAATACATTCGATTGTCCCCACCCGTGTTCTTGTTCACTACACCATGAGTTATTTTGTTATTTTTTGTGTCTATGTTCTACAGTTATACTCATGTAGATCCTGTAGTGTTGAGTGGTGTACAAACTTCGTTCGCAGAATCTTATTTTATAACAAAATATTACTTTATCATAAATAGCTTGCAGTATAATGTATTATACTAGGTAGGTATCATTACCAGGGTTCAACTTGATAATTTCGAATAAATTGGTCGCAGATAGTATTCTTGTTTTGTTTCTTTGTACTATTTATACTTGGATTAATTTTGGTTTTGTTATTTATTTTCTGAAGAAATGGCCCACAGTAAACCACGAAACATCAGGAAATTTAATTTTTCTACTCATCGTGATATTACAAATATATTAATTTATTCATATCATACTGGGTATTTATTTTCTTAAAATGTGCAGATTCTTTTGTTTTTTTATTGAATAATCATAACTGTTCTAACTATTTCTTTTTATTTTCTCAAGTATAAAGCGTTTTTAGAAAATGGAAATTTGGATCCAGACTTATCTTCATTGTTAACCAAAAATAATGCTGATGTTATTTCTCACTGCCAGTCAGGTAATAAGGATAATGACAGAAATTCACTATCGAGTTATAATAATGCAACCGGTTCGACTCCTGTTGTACTTGACAGGGAAATTTTAGATCTTGAATCATTCAGCCTTAATTCATATTCTGACAGTAGTCTATCAGTTATTGAAAGTGATAAGACCCTATTTGAAAGTGAAATAACTAGCAGAAGTAGAGCTTATGATAACTTTCTCACCCATTCAGACGAACGAATTGTACCTAAAATATGTAACCTAACAAAAGAGAATGATTTTCCAACTGACTCACCATTAGATCATGATAGTATGATTGGTTTAATTCCTCCTGTTATACCGAAAGGTGAATCAGAACAAACACACAATGGTGATCAAAATTCACATCATGGGGACCAGCTGTCAATTGGGAATGATAATAGTGTTAGTTCACAAACCAGTGAATCGGTGTTAGAATATAGCAGCACTGATGAGAATGAGAATGATCCTGGTAGTGAGTGTGAAGTTGTTGGCGATCCGGAAGTATCATGTGGAAATCTCCTTGGTTCTTCTTCACTAACAACTCCCGGTACCCAGAAATTATTAATGAGCGGTCTTAGGCTATTGGGTAAAGCAGGAACATATATACAACGTCGACTTTCTGTTTCTCTACATTGTACGCGTTGTCGCTTATCTTTCCAGTGGCTTTTCACTTTTCATGGGGCGCGAGCTATGAATAATTTTAGTGATCCGAATACAGCGTGTAGACTTTTGCGTTCACTCCCACCATACACAACTCATTGTGCACGTTGCCATCAAAAATTGACTTTACTTTTCCAGTCTAGTCTAGCACATGCATTCGACAACAATATTGGAACTCTACATTTAGATGGTTGTATTGCTGACGATGTTCCACCGAAACAGTCTGATGGTATTATTTTATGTACTGGATGCTTCAATTCAGTGCGAGTCACCGTGAGTTTTTTTGTGCTGATTTTTTACTGGTCATTATGTTTATCATATGAATAGCTTGTAAATTTCGACACAACAAAGTGGCATGTACTATAGAATAGTTCTCAACATAACTCTCTTTGGAACACTGAAAAGAAGTACTTTTCTTGAACTCATTAGATTGGTTCAAAGGATATTTTAACATTAAATATATGTTGCAAGGTTTTTATTTTGACAGAAATAATCTGATTGTAATATTCAAATAAGTAGAAAATCAAACTTCTAGTGTTCCGCGACTTAGTGTAACTTATTTCGTCAGAAAACAAATAACCTTTTGCAAACTGAGGTATGTTTAGTTAGTACAAGGAACAAAGCAGTTAAAAAATTTAATACATACATGTTGGACCACAACATAACATATTATTCAGATCAAAGGTAAGGCGTATTTTTATGTATTTATGTGTATGCAAGTAGGTGTGAAAGTGAACACATGTAATGTGAACTACTTTTTAGCTTGCATGCACTATCCCTTAAGCGGTCGAATTCACAAAACCATACACACTAATAGTAATCAACCCACTTACCAGTGATTAATTTCGAGAAGTTGTTTCTGGAGTCTTATTGAGAAGCAGCGACTAGAGGAGTCCAATCGTGTAGGGAGAGAGGCAGTTATCCATCAATCCAATTTGACGTTGGTTACACAATATCGTAAATTGACTTAACTTAAGGAAGCATACCACTGGATATCAACTCAGTGGTATGAATGCTAAGCGCTCGTCCCGTTACCTAAAGATCCTAGTGCAATCATAGTTGTGTACTATTGAAGAGTCCTGTTCTAGAGCCTCAAAACGCCCTCGTTTGGCCAAGGGCAGGGAGGATCCATTTTTCCTCTTAAAATGCTTTCATATGGCCACGTATATATAAGCACTGTCAGGGAAGTCCTACTCATCGCCTTTTCGAGGCGAAGGTGTTGTTAACAAAATTCAAAAGAAGAAAAGTAAATTTCCGTCTCTTAAAGCTGATTGATGGGTACGGAGGTTCCATCCTCGGCAGTTTGAAAACCTTGATTCCAAACCACTGGTACATATGAGCTATAAGATCCCGAGGGAACAGATGTCGTACGAACCCATTGTTGGTCACTGGCTACGACGGAACTTCGTCTGCTAACATTGCGCTACTCTCTTGTAGACTAGACCTCTAGATCAAAGGTAGTCCCCTAAAAGGACCGCCTGTTTCGGTTTTTTCGCTCGGTCGGTATCTCATCTTACACACAATTAATAATAGTAGCGACTGAAAAAAATTGTGCTAGCTCCAATCTTCATTCTCTTAACATATGCTCCCAACTGTTTGGTAACTTTCGTTTTATCCAAAAAAATTTCGCTTATTTATTCCCTTTTATTTCCATTTTGTGCATATCTTTATTTTTCAACTCATACATCAGCTGGCCAGTAACGGAAGTCCTGTCCTATCTAAACGATCTGAAGCCAGCGGCTGGTCGAAAGTTGATCGCTACTACCAAATACAAATTTTAAACTAGCCTTTCTGAAGCCATGTATGCCATTCAAACTGCTCTTCTATTTATTTGTTTGAACACATAAATACCGGTACAAGAGGGCACCAAATATATATACGCTTACTTAATAAGTTTTGAAGAGATGATAGGCATAAGGCTTTTCGTAAGTCTGCGTCTCTTAATGTTGCCTCACTTTTAATTCATTTGAACTCATAAATATTGGTACAAAGGGCCACCGAGTACATACACACAAGTCACTTGATTTATGTGTGAGCTATGCTATTGCCCGGGTGCCCAAACCGAAGCAGGCGGTTTCCTTGGAGGGCCATACCCGGAGCCTTCAACCTAAAGGTCTGATCCACAAGACAGTGGAGCAAAGTCAGGAAATGCAGTCTCACGGTAACTGGTGACCAACGACTGGTTCATGTACCATTTGTTCCTTCAGGATCCTGGAGCCCATGTGCACCACTGGTTTGGAATAAGGGTTTTCCAACTTCCCTAGGTGGATTCTCTGTGTCCACCAGCCCGGTTAAGGAGCCGGACACTCTCTTTTCGTAAAAAAACACCCCCGTCACGAGAAGGCAGTGAGTAGAACTTCCGTGGCAGTGGTTGTATGCACGTGGTCATGTGAGAGCATTTAAAAAGGGGGCAGACTCTCCTCACCCTCGGCCGTACCAGAGCATTTGGGGGTCTCACTGCCTTGCATATTTTTCTACTTTTAGATCGTAAGCTCGGGGAGTAGTTTCATAAGAGAACTGCCTACTCTTACCTCACCTTCCGGACCAACCTCATGCGTATAATACTAAACCATTATTAACCCAGTAGAGTTTACCGGTGAATCATACACCTTCCTTTGTATTTGAAGAAGCCATTTCTAATTAGTTCAATATTTTCATTATCGATTCGGTGGTTGTCCACTGATATATTTTGTTATTGTTGATTTGATATGTGTTTTTAAGCTCTACATGAGTATGAAGTGCTCTTGTGTAACATAGATCTTCCTTGGAACGTGTTAAGTTTGTCTTCTTATTCAGTAAATAATTAGTGTCAGTTAATGGTGCACTGTGTCTCATTTTCCCCCAAAATAACCCTCTTATATACTTGAACTGTTTTTTGTTCATCTAACAGGGACTTGATTTTGACTGTCCTCTTACACGACGCTGCTTCAATTGTCACTCTTTGACTGGATTAGAGTTTAGCAAATTTCAGTTGGAATTGTTAAAACAACCTTCAAATTGTAAGTACCGCTTAATATATTATATAGCAAAGTAAAAAAAATATTCAAAAATTATATTTTGTGCTATTGATTAGTGTTTATACGTTATGTAATTTTGTTTTTAAACAGCTTTCTGGGGTTTTTAATACTTCCTCTTATTCCCTTTTCAGATAATCCTAGAACAAATTCGCTTAAATAAAACATGCGTTCCGCGATCTCGTAATAAAAAGGGATGGGAATGGGGATAAGTTATAGATAATATTTTGCTAGTTAAAGTTGAAAACTGTAAATGAATGGTGATTAAGATTTCATTTGTTTGCTGTAGAGTTTAGAGGTCCTGGCTTCTCATAATGCTAATAGCTTTCAGAAATGAGAAAAGCAGTCGTTTCATCAGTTTCATGTGTTGTGATATTTGCTGAAAACTACTTCGAAAGTTATCAAGGTATTTAATCAACTGATACTTCGTCCATATCAGACTTATTTGTAAAGTCATCCAAGATCAGATAATATTTCGTTACGTTTTATAAAATTTGATAGATACACTGACCTTTTATCGAATTTATAAACTCGTAAGACATAATATGTATCATCAATTAGAGAAAGTCCTTCATTTGACTGTTCACTTCTGCATTAAGTATCATGAAAGCTAGACCTATTGTCATAAGGATCAGTCTGAAATTGATAGTTACCGTAGTTTATTGAGGTCAAAACCTTTGTAAATCATTCAAGTCCATGCTGATGAAACCTATCAAATTCCAGTACCGTCTATTTTGTATCGTACAACCTGTTTTTCACCCACTATATAAAGTTAAAAGACTGTATACTACCTGGACTGTAATGACCGAAACTGTCTCATGATTGCGGTGTCAAAACTATGGGGAATTCGGGAACTATTGAGAAAAACAACACTGTCCACTTACTTTGTTATTTAGGGTCCATAGACACTGTGATAAAATTTTAACTTACTAAGTATCATGTAATTTGGTCCTAAAAATTGTTGGCTTTACGAAAACTCGCAGTATTGAATAAAGTCGTTATTACTATTTCGTTGTGAAAAAGCTAGTGGGGTCCAGACAAAGACATGACATTTGTTCATGAAAACAGTTCAGGCGCATACAACAAAGTACAAGGTCGAATAAAATCAGCTACATCAGAGTTATTGTTTCATGAAATCTACAGATATCCAGTGAGTATATCACTCAAACTGATGTATGATTTAAGCCCTAATTTATTTTCATGTGGGAGTAATTTAACCTGACTGGTAATTTAAAAAGTTATCTGGCGTTAACATAACCTTTAGCAAACTGAAATATTCCACTTATTCTGATCAGTAAATAATAATCAAAGACAAGATAAATCATACAAATTATTTCTTCACTAATTGAGTTCACGCATAATGTAATACCCTACCCTATTATCGCTTTTAATAAAAGTGTTTTTTGAAAGGATTCTGCTGTTTTGCCATTTACCACAAAAAATCACTGATAAAATAATGATAATGGCGAGAATAATTTACCAATTTAGTGATAAATTTATTGTTGTCTTTCTGGATGCATAAATCAGGTCTTGATTTTTTATTGCTGTTATTTTGACAAACCGAAGAGACGCTGCGTTTTTTTTTGTGTTGATTATTTCGAATACGTCACTTACATTCACTTCATGTCTACTGTCGAGATGTTTGGCAATTACACTTGTGAAGACTTTATTCTTTTTCAGTGGTAGGTTCAGAAAAGTCACTAAAATAATTAACCACGGGATAAGTGTCGCATTTCAAGTTTCTTATCCGCCAGCAAGGCTGACGACGCTATTTGAAAGGAACTGCTCTCTCAAACAAACGAAAATTAACAGGTCTTCTTTCTCAGTACCTCCAACTGCATTTATCAATTTACATGTACGTGCCAAAGCACATACATTAGTAGAACAGAGAAAAGAGTGCATGTTGGCATTTTCGAACACATTACAAAAAACTTGAGACCGAGACACAATGGTTCTATAGAGTTCAATAACTTATGAAATGTCAAGTAAATGCCGTTATTTGTTATTGTTTATTCCTAACACCGTACTACTGTTTATTTCCATAAATTATTGTTAGCCAAGAGTGTGAAAATAGATGGCACAAACCAAGATTCGTCTTCTCAAATTTCCCGAAGAATGCGACGTACAATGAATTCAGCTCAAAATACACTCATCCAGGATGGATCACCTTTACCAGCTTATGGCAGCTGTAAGCACTATCGCAAAAGCTATCGATGGCTAAGGTAAGTCTAACATGCATCCCGTCAATGTTTGCTAGTGTTAAACGTTTTCAACAACCTAGATTTCTATGCAAACTTCGGGCTAAAAAATTTCAATCGTGGACCTTACTCCATTCTTAATTTGTTTTCAGATGGTACACTGTTGAACAAACAGTGTAGGCATCAATCACCTTGAATTACTTGTAATTAAACATTTAAGAATCAGCTTAAAAAGTTAATTTGGTGAAAAAGTTTTCGATTACTCATACATTCAAAGCGTATCCGATGTGGCATTTATAGGATAACAATTAGCATCCGTATGCCTGAAATCAGAAACCTAAGCAGTATTGAAAAGAAGTTTAGTTAGCTAGACTTGATAACCAGCTTATTATTTGAAAATTAGTACGCTATATATAGAGGACATGACAGCTTACGTTTGAAACGAATGCTAGCAACATAAGAATTTACATAACTTTTACAAGCTTTATTATTTTGTCTTGAGAGAATAAAAATGTATGCAGTCAGCAAAAAACATGGCCTTATTGACAACAGCATTCACTTTTGTTTTACTTCTAAAAGGTTTCCTTGTTGTGGACGTCTGGAACCATGTGATGTCTGTCATGATAATTCTGCTGTTGATGGACACGAAATGGAACTGGCTACTCGTATGATTTGTGGGTTTTGTTCTAAAGAACAACCATTTTCTGCTAACAAACCATGTGTAAGATGTGACAAGATGCTATCAGGAACTCGGTCTTCACATTGGGAAGGTGGGAAAGGATGTCGTAATCAAGTAACTATGTCTCGAAAAGATTCAAGAAAATATTCTCATGTCAACAAGGTTAAATCCAAGAAGAAAACCAAGCAAAATAAATGATCAGTATATTTAAAACCGTTTAAAGCTCCTTACAAGATTCCGTATAAACAAATATTACTTCGAAATTTGTAACATATAACAGCAAAGTAGTTATAAAAATGGAAATTATTCTTTCTAACCTATGGTTCTACAATTAGTCGAAACTATTGTTTACATCTCAAGAAATTATAGGATACAGATTTAAGATTTGCCTTACATATAACTATTCTTTCGAATCAGTAATACAAACTCATTTCTGTGGAATATGATGGTAATTTTTTTAAAAGAATATTTTTCGTCCACGTGTTTCAAATAGCAATTATTATCCACAATAAGTTAACATTTCCGTGATATTCCAATACATTTCTTTGTACATTAAACTTGAGAAAATAGAAACTAGTTTATGAGTTTGAAATATCCACTTCCCTATGAACATTTATTTTATATTCATATTTTAATAAAGATTATTGAATTGTCTGTCAAACAATTTAATTTTCCTGAATATTTTTTATTGTTTCAAACAACCAATTGATCATATTGTTTTATTTCTAATTTCTTTTCTGTCTAAAAACCTGGATTTTCTTTACAAACTTCTTCCAATTCGATATCATGATAATCCTGGTGAAAAAAAGATTCTATTTAATAGAGTATTCCAGTATTTACATAGTTATTATGATGTAGCTGGGGGTTTTTTTTATTGTCAAAAATTTAATTTATATTAACAAATTGTCTTTATAGGAATTTAATGATCTGATTGTTTGTGATTTCTATAAATTTAGTATTATCTAGTGATATTTGAGGGGAAAAAAATGCATCTAAATAAAAACTAAAAAATATGTTAAGAACCTTTTTCTTAACCAGTATATTCAAATGTAAAAATATTAATGTACAATAATTTAAACATAAAATCAATAAAAATGATTAATTTCTACTTTAAGATTTTATATTAAAAGTAACCTAATTAGTTAATTTGATAGTAAGTTTTGATAAATTTCTACAAATTCTTTAAAAGTTTTCTTTTTACTTAAAAAAAAATTATTTTTTTTCAATTATGTTGTGGCAATTTTTAAAAATGAATATAACGTGATGCGTCATTTAATAGCTAAAAAAAAAAACGTTTACACACGTTTGCGAATCTGTTTCTATAGCATATATGAAATGTACAAGATATGGAGATATGTAAAATGTTATTTATTTATATGTTGCTTTTCAAAATCAATGGACTGTTTCCGCAAATGAGTGTGTATAAATTACGGAAAGCCGACGCATGATTGCTGGAAAAAGAGCAATAGAAGAAGATTCATTATTTTAATAATGATACTATTTGACTTTTTTCACTTTGATTAAATTCATAGTTTAAAAGAAAAGAGGTTAGTAATGATTTAAGACGACTACAACTTACAAAATCTTTATTAACCATTTGTACACAAATATGCTTTGTGAAAAACACAAAGCACTCTTGGATATAAAATTAATGTAACAGTGTACACACGCGACAGTAAACCATTGCTTTGATAAAGACAAATTAGTGTTGTAATTTTTTTACAATCCTGTTATGTTCGGTAAACTTGAATGCTACTACTGATTCGTCTTACTCGGAACAGAACGAAGAATCAAGGATTCAGAGACTCGATAGGCTATACTGATCCGTTGTCTCTGCCTCAGCTAACTCAACCCAGAAGTCTTGGTAAGATGTAGAAAGTGTATTCTACAGACAACCAGAAGATACCAGGTCCATCAAGCACACAAATCAAGCGTATTTATACAAAATATATATAATCGATATTGCCATGTAAGTTTTTGAACATTTAATCGATAAGTTCGTCTATCGACTATGTGCGTGGGTGGTAAGAAATGCCCAAGCATACATCTGCATACAAGCTCCACGAAGATAAAATTACAAAATATGAGTTTTGGGGATCTAACGTCCCCAACAAATTCCTTAAAAGTAACAGTCGTGCATATTTAAACAATGGGAATATATGTCGATAATATTTTACGTTAGAAAGATTTGTCAATAGACAAATGTGATATAAATTACTTAATAGCATATTAACCCAAGTTACAAGGACTTATTCAGATGCGATGCTCCGGGATGAAACGAAAATAATGACATTTCGGCAGCACTCGGGTGGATGTTATTTGCGAATTAATTATTAAAAGAAATTAATACAAATTGCTTCGGAAAGAAGTGCAATTGTTAGCAATATAAGCGTATCTCAGAACCTTATTTTTATTTCAAATAATAATCTGTTTTGAAGACATAGTACAGCGAAAACTTGAGAACTTTATTTCATCTCCCGTTAAAATACACTGTGTTAATTTGCACGATTTGGGAAGGAACGAACAAACAATTATTTAATAAATTTTGAAGTATGCTTTTGTACAGTTACCTAAAGTAACATGAATTTCTTCATAAGAAATGAGTTAATGTAATTTTTGATTTACACGGATTGGGAACTTTAGATGAATGCTTGTGATTTAGTTAAATAAGACTTGAAATTTTTCTATACAATGTCATCCTTTTAAAGTATTCTTAGCTGATGCATGGGAAAGCACTAAAACAAATGGGTGTTACATTAACACATTGATGTACGGTGTCGCGAATATACTTATAATTTCAGGAATACTGTCTATATTTGTTAATATAATTCGACAAGACATAAACAGATTGGGTATACGGAGAGCATGGCTTCGTTAGTGAAACATACATGCATATAGTTGACTAATTTCAATAGCGAAAAGGTGTTATTTGCCGATCCAGGTAATGCATAAAATATCTGGTTTATAAATGCTGCTTTTGTCAAAGGGGGATATTTAAAATCATATTTGTATCAAAATCAATTCGCTTAATTAACAGCAAAAAAGACTGATAGATTAACCTTCCAGTGGTGTCTCTTTAAATTCCAGTATTATTATTCATAAAAATAGAATAGCAAAAAACCGATAACACTATTTGCTATGAAATGTTTAAGTAGTAACCAAGTTAAAAATGTAACTAACATGAGAACACATTTCTTCATCAAATGATTACAGACTTACATCGTTTTTGTGAATAGATGATCCGCAAGCAAATTAGGTAGATTTGCTTTAAAAGTGTTTAGAAGTTCGAGTTCTGTTTGGACAGATTCAAGCTCACTCCAAAGGTTTGTAAATAATAATGCTTGTTTCTCGCTGCCATTGAATACACACATTTGAGGCCATGCCGTTAACGCTAATAAACGGGAAAATGCTCCCGGAGTGCTAGGACAGTTGCCTTCGGTTTATAAAAGTGATGAAAAACATTAGATATATCTGAGAAGACGAACGTTTACTTGAATCAACAAAACCATAAGAATTGTTACTAGTCCTAGAAACTGGGACTCTGTTCTTTTATTAAAGTTGAGCAAATAAGGCTACTGAAATTTCCTTGGCTGGCCATGTTCTGATAAGTTTCTTGAGTACTATTAGTGTTTTAATCACATAGTATACAATCATCCACTTTGTACAGCTCTCAGCATTCAGAGTATCGTCGTTAATCCGGGGTAAGTGGGTCTTTGGTTTTCGAAAAATTGTATTTGGACGCTTACTATTTTACATTATATGTCATGATAATTGACGGAATATCAGCAATTAGAATACGCATCTGTCTATATTGAACTTATGAGACTAAAATTTGGACGTTAGACCTTCACTTTGTATTCACAAAGGAGTTAGAAAATATAACGTAATGTATTATAAGTGGAGTTACTGTATCCGTTTTATATTAAAATGTTGCGATCAACTGATCTTATTTACTGCTCAGTATTAAAACAGGATGGAACAGTTGATTGTTGCGGAAATTAGTATAGTATTTCGGTTCGGCACTAGCACATATATTAATCGAAAGTAAGTTTCAATTACAGTATATGAATAGACTATGTTTAGGCTATATAAAGAGGTCAAGTAGTAACAGCGTTTGTACATGTGAGATCACAGTTGGCTACAAATTTATAAGATTAAATATGATTTCCCTATAGATCCTATGTTTCTTCTAAATAGGAGCTATAAAAGTTTAGGATTGCCAAATGTGTTTTCATAATTCCTGCTCTACAACTGTGTTATCGATTACATGTATAAATTATACAGTCATTACAAATCTGATAATACAAGTTTCTAGGGAACGCCTGCCAACTTTTTCTTACTTTAAATAGAATCACAGGTATATGAAACGCGATTCGGACGTGAAAGCAGTCATTTTCTTACCTATAGTCAGAAACGCTTCATATGGATTTGGAGGAGCAGTTAGTTTAACTAGGTGTTTTGAAGCAAACCAGGCACTTATGGGATCATTATGAGTGAGAGGATCATTAACGACATTCGTTGTTGACAAGTCGCTTGACTCAGGGTTTACCTTTGTCATCAGTAATTCCAACAGTTTTAAAATGAGGCTGAATCTTGAAAAAACGTACTGAACCCAGTTAATTTCATCTTGACTGACTTTCTGTACATCTAAATACAAATTGGTAATCAAAAGATAACTAGATATTAGAATTCGTGCGAAAATCAATAAGCATTCGTTGACAGAGCAATAACAAGGTTTGCAGAATAAGATGGGTTCATTCTGCTTCACAGTTTATCATCAACTGCATACAGCCTAGAATTACAATTACTGATATGAATATAATTATTAACAAATGTTTAGCATACTTTGGTTTGTAAAGTTCAGACAAGTATTCAAAACATAACCAGGATTTTAATAATAACAACAGGGATACAAAGTGTGTGAATAAGCATAGTTAAGGCCGATGTGTGCTTATATGTTGGGAAGTATAATAGTTAAGGGGTTATGTAAGGGTAGTAAAACTTGTAATTGATTGGGTGATCGCTGAACATGATAAAATAAACAAATGTGTAAACATACATCAGATTATGTTAGAGATGAATATTAGAAGACGAAAAAATAATAAGGTGGAGTACAGGATTGAAAAAGATAAAGCTGAAGAAAGCCACCAGACAAATATCCAGTCACCATGGCAGGGAAAGGCTAATCAAGCTTTCCTTCTGTATACATAGGTCAGGTCGGGGACATTTGATAGCGACCGCCTCTGCAAAACGGAGTAAAATATGTGTTTCCCGTCTGTTGATTATTTTGAATGTGCCTTTTACATCCACGTCATCTCTGCTATCGTGATGTCTGGCAACTGCATTTGTAAAGAGTAATCCCTTTCAGTCGCAGGTCCCTAGGAATACGTTCAGAAAAAACTTGTAGAGAGCCTTCCCTCTGTCCTTCGTAAGTACATGGGACCACTACTAGGGCCTGTCTTGGCCGATATATTCATGGCTAGACTAGAACAAACGAGACTGAAACAGTGAATCCATAATAAACAACATACTACACGAGATATGTCGGTGATAAATTCATCATTTGTGATAACATGGACCACCGTTCTCGGTTACTTAGTCACTCCAAATATAACACAACGAAAGAGATAACCAATTCAGTTTTTTAGATCTTAGTGTAAGATGGAAAAATGATAGACATCTTGAGAAATGCATATATAGGAAGTAAACATGGATAGGACAGTATTGGGACACCTTTTGTCTTATAAGTAACGAAAAGTGTTTGGTCAGAACGATGTTTAATAGAGCTAGGATTTTATCCTCAGATGGCAAAATAAGTGAGGAATTGGCTATTCTGGAAAAGCATCTAATAAAAAATGGGTACCCGAGGTAGTTTATTACATTAAGACCTGAAAAACTGGATTCAGTCAGTAACAACGTAGAACTTCGTACGTACGTACATCAGTTCGAGTTGCCATACCACATTAGCACAGAGATGCAGTGGTCGATTCAAATCCCGTAGTGGTAGAGGTAGCAAGAGTATAAGCAGTAATCGGGAAGATTAGGGTTTGGAGATGTTATTTAACGCGTATAATCCAGTGAAATAAATTTGGAAGGAGGAAAAAAAGGGACATGAAGAATTCAGAAGATTAGAATTTGGGAGAACATAGAGAGTGGATGCACCTGCGCCATTGATACAACCACATCTTTAAAATTTAATAAACTAAATTTTAACAGCTGAAATAAATCTATTTAGTTGTGATAAATAATACTCACCAATGAACCGCACAAGACTAGTGAATTTTTCGAACAAAGCGATGGCAAAGTCACACTTTTGAATAGCAAAGCACATACTAAAAAACAGTTTGGATTCCATGGGGATCTGAGAAAAATATTAAAAAGCAAGGTGTAGAACATTGACTTTCGGAAAATTCATTGGTACCACACTGTCGAAATCATAAATATAAATTAATATTGCAATAACTGTGGGCAATTACATAATTTACGTTGGGTTTTCAAGTAGAAGCTAAAAAAATATATCGGCACATTTATTGCCGGTAAATTATTACACTTTATTATGACGAAAATGATTTAAACTTTAAATGATAAACCCAAGAATTTAAGAAGTAAATTTCTCCCAAAACTCTCGGTTTGTATCGTAAAAAAGTGGTGCAGATGTCCTTAAGCCTACTCTATATATTAAAAAAATTGGAGTACTCTTAGACCAATTGAAATATTTTTTGCCAAAACTTACAATCTAAATTGTTATTCCAGCGACTAAGAATAAAATAACAATTCACCAAATATATTTCGTTTGATTCTGATTTAAGGGCTATTAAAACTACTCATTTGTCAAATTAAAGTAAGTGAAGTGGGATATAAACCTGAGAACTTATGGTAGGAAGATAAATTCTAAATTACTAAACCATCACTACACACTAAATGTTGTTAGCTTCTATGTTATAGCACATATCAATCCACGATCAGTAAAAATATACAGCTGCACAGGGTATATAAGTTCATTTGAAAAATCCGAGTTTTTCCACCACTCAAAGCTTACACTGTTAACAATTTTCTTTTAAAATTATTTTTCTAATACGTATATCCATCAAATAGGTGTAAAAGACACTGTCTCATTTAATTAGGTAGACAAATTTCTAAAACCGGATTAGATATGCATAAGGGTGATCAACCTGTTTTTTTTTTTTCAAAATTAGGTACATTTTGTGTATATTAATCACCAGGTTATTGAGATTAAACTACGAGTGTGAGTAAATAAAACACACCTGGAACGTTAAAGCCCAATGTTAATTAAACTTTCTATCAAGCCGGGTTCGGCACAGAAATCGGTTTAAATTGTGACTAAATGCTTGGGTAGCAAACACATGGGACACCTATCTACATACCTTTGAGAAACAAACTACTCGGCAGACAAGTGGTTTGAAAAAATCAACTGAAAAATAATTGATCTAATAACGGGTAGATCTAACTTAAATATACGAGCACCTATAGAGGTAAATTTCATGAGAATCATAATACCAGCAGACACGGTACATTTACGTGTAAATCTGTTAGAACACTGACCTGACAGCACAGTAAATTGGATAGTCACCTAAAAGTTATCAGCTAGATAATCATATGATGTGATGCATCATTATCGCGCATGCACAACGCTAGATATTATGGGAATTATTAAAACTCGAAATGTTAAAGCTTTACTGAAATAGTTGTAAACATCTTAGCTTTACAAAGATTACTTCTACACTCTTTAAAGTGTTCAAATCCCTCAAGGCAAGTGGGAACCTGAAAAGAGGAATCATAAGAAGTTTAATTAGAATAACTATCATGTCACGAGGAGCACCCTGGACATTTTCCTACAATTCTACTTAATTTAAGGTTATGTAGGCCATTAAAAATGATAGGCATGTCCAACTGGGATACTCACGTTTTTAAAAAACTGAACTATAATACTTCTATCTTCCGATCTTAATAATTGCCTGGTACGTGAGATTGAGAGCCACAAGCGCGAAACACTTTTATTATATTTTTCGATTAAAACAGCCTGCTGATGAGTTTGATATTGGTAGCAGTCACATGTAGAAGCTGGATGGCATAATAAATTTCTGTTACAGTTAGGTTTATATAAGAACCCACATATCCTCGAAAAAATTCACTTCTGTGTGATTTTCCTGTTGGGTACTGGTTTCGTTGATCTTTTTTATGGTTCTGTCACTCATACTTTTGCTGTCCATTGTTGGTGGAAATGATGTTACTGGCTGACCTAATGTAAATAACTTTTTACTAAATGCTGAAGGTGAGACTACATATCACGTAGTTACCGGTTTGGCGTGTGTATATCCGTTTTATAAGGAGCTTTATAGTGGGCAGGAATATATTTCCGTTGCCTTGTTATAGGTCCGCTGCTATCAGGTCTCGACTTCTTTATACAAGTGTTTCCATGATACATTTTCAGGACACTCTTGCTAGGCCTATCTACGGAGATAGTCTCCTTTTTTATCTTCTGTGGAGAAAGAGTTAAATGTGCTTTTTGAAGGGCTTCTTCTACTTCCCTTATAAGCAAGCTGTCAGAATCGACATCATAGGAATTGACAGTTTCTTTCTTATCAACTTGAACCGCAAGTTTAGTACATGTGCATTTATTTCCCCTGAATTTAAATAAAAAAGGATCAAGTAAGATACTTATTCGAAAAACGCCTAGATAGATTGTATACGGTGTTAAAAGATTGTTCGAAACAGTTAAGTTTCCATTCAAGTAGAGAAGCAATATCCATACAGCTGGACCAATTGTTTGAAAGTAAGAATAATAGGGTGTTTCAAACTCCACGTATATAACCTTGGTGTATGGAGAAGACCATATTCGTTGACAACGACAAGCAAATGGTTCCGATTATGATCACATAGGATGACCTTGAAGGGTCAAATCTTCCTCTGTTATGCTAACGCAAATGAAAGTGGTAATTTTAAACTTGACTTTTGACAGGTAAATTCAACGAAATATTTATTACCTGAGACCTGTATATATGTAGTACTTTCGCGTTTTTTTGCCACAGAAAAATTTGATTTTTGTCATATTTTTTCTAGAAATGGAAACGGAAGACAAATTTTTCAGAAGAATCAATCGAACATTAGCACCTTAGTTCTTACAGAGATGAAGTGGATGTGAATTACCCTTTGGAAAGATTAGTGTAGCGGTAAATAAATCCCTGAAATAAGTAGCTTTGTAAGTTTTCGACATTGGATGCTGACCACATTAGTTTTAATGGACTCACTTAGCTGAAGGCGCTCGGTCATGGATCTGCTCCAGATCACGAATGGGAACGCCTTGCTCAACAAACCCTGCAATCTCTAGCTAGATTAGATCAGACGATCCTCGATATATTGATAGCCTATCAAATATGTCTTCGAGCCTCTTCGCTTCTGTCTTTTGATTTCACTCGGTAGGTACGATTCATATCAGAGGTGTAACTCGTTAAAGCGTTGTCAAACTCCGAATACCTGTGGCATATTCATTAGAAAGAAGATTTAAGCACTACGGTCTTCTGTAGAACGTTTTATAACCAGTTGATTTTAACCAACAGAATTTTTCATGAATTTTGACGTCAGATACTTTATGTTTTCACTTGAACATTTTCCAAGAAAACAGTTTCTAGATGTGGTTGTGAACAAAGATAATATTGGTCTGTTCAAATACGTCTAAATTTCATGCTATGAAGTTTATGGAATTCGATTGTGATATCTATCTCCTTTTCAGTAGCGAAGTACAGGGTCCTAAAGTCACTACTTGAAGGAATGGTACATGTATTGAGCCTTATGGCACTATATAAATGATCGAGATGACAGCGTTCTTGCAGTTAGCCAATTAATTGGCGACACACCGCCTGCCTGTATCAAATCCATGTTAGAACTTGAAAAGCCTCAAATTGTTAAGGATTAGTAAAGATCTAGTAAATAACCTTAGTCTTAGCTTTCATGACCATGGAGCAGAAAAATATATTTGTGATCTACTTTCTTATGCAGGTATGGCTACGCCTCATTCGATTAGGAATGTAGTCTACCTTTTCAAAAAAACAGCTTCCAGAGAGTGACGAGGGAGTCTAAAAGCACCGCTGCACATTTCCTCTTGAGTTTGGGTTGGACTGCATCTAAGGCAGAAGATTTATTTGGATAGCGGTGATTCGGCATTTGTTTGAACTCACCATGCTTAGGTCCCCATGGAAAAGAATAACTTAGAAGTCATTGTACAAAGAATAAACAGAATACATGTGATTGAGTTGAGACTTCTTAACTAGTGGCTTAGCAACCATGTTGTGCTACTTATGAGCTACTAAAAAAATCCTGATCCAGAATAATAATAATAACTCATTCTCAATAACAGTTTGTTACATGAGGCATGCCAGTTCACATGCAAGATAAAATTGTTACAAATGATACAATTTTCACTGTAGTAAATTACTCAGCTAGGTTGATATTTTATAAGACATGAAAGTAGATGGTTTTAGTAAGAATCGTGTTCTCATTATCGCAGTTGGCGCGCTTTATGAAGGTTGAGTTGCGGCGAGCAGCTGATGGTCGAGAATGGATCCGTGTGAAGTTCGAGGCTTCTAGAGACTGCAACCTTATATCCCTGTGGAATATCTGAGGCTTTGATGATGGTGCAGGATGAAGTCACCCGTTTCATACTGTTTTCAGTGGCATATTTCAAGGGGGCTGAAAAAGGGTGCAAGAAAAACAGAGGATGAGAAGCAGAGCAGACAATGTTCATGAAAGAATAGTTAAGGTAAGACTACTCAGTCTAATTCTCTGTTATTAAGGTATTTATTGAGCAAGAGCATTTTAATATGTTAAAGGAAACAAACACTACCTTGCACCAATCTCTTCGTTATTGTTCTCTTTCTTTACGCTCCTTACTTTTTTTCTTCGAATTCTCATTATTCTATGTGTCGCATATATATTGAAGCTCTCTTGTACCAATAGTTATGTGTTCAAATAAATAAATGAGTGGATAAACAACCGGCAAATGGATTTGGTTTAGAAAGAAGCTGAAAGTATGGGATTATGTGTAGTAATGAAATATAGTGCTGAAAACAAAATTCTGATACACAAATAGCTGTCCCTCTTTTATGACGGAGCTATTTGAGCCTTTTCTTGTAGATTTCACAGAGTACTGAGCAGGCTTAGTTTTTGGCGAATTGTCGGCGAGACTCTTATTTATGAACTAGCCAATCATAAGCGTTTGAGCAATTTCAAGTTAACAGAGTCAAGTTGAACATCTGATGCTCACATACGATCGGTTTACAGAGGATTTTAGAGAACACTTGATTATTGAGGGGCTACAAGAGATGAGATTTCTAAGATGTTCCTGCATCTGTGACTGCGGTGGCAAGAATATAATTTTTGGACGAATCTATCAGGTATAAGTTAATATATCTCGGATTTTAACGTGAAAGATTTCCATCTATTTGGCTAAATAAAATTTCTAACATTTTAGCTGATTCCAACTCGTGATGAAAACCCATATATTATTCTTAAGACAAATTACGATAGTTATTGCGAACGGTATAATAAAAGCATCAGTAACTTTAGCTGCAGCTAGGTACTACAATATATACGGATGATTGGAGAGCATAAAAACTCCCACATAGGCTTGATTATGTGCATCGTGTCGTTATCCACAAGTAGCATTTGGTGCACTCATCAATCGGTGTGCACATAAACAATTTTCAAGTTATGTGGTCGAGGCTGAAAGAGTTTTTGAGACTTTGTCGTGACCCCAGAGGCCGACTATTCTGTAGTCGTATGGATGATTCCCTCTACTGCATGCATTACGATTTTAGAACCTCTGAACCTCTTTCTAACCCTAACAAGTTTTGAAACACGTATAAGAAGTGTATCCACTTTATTTGCTTGGTTTTGTATAACATATTTTTACTCTATACTGACTGTTTGCTGATTGGCTTATATTTCTCAAGGTCTCTTGAGATTCGTTTAAACATCGTCCATAAATTAGAGTCTCACCGAATTGTCTAGTTTACTCGTAATAAGATTACTCGGTAGGAAGTGAAACTAATTCTGCGTTCCAAACGTGTTTCAATGAGGGTATTTTGCATAATAAGTCAGCATCAATACCATTGGTTCGTGAAATTCCGCTGGACCATAAGGAGTCGTAATTAAACAAAGTGTTCTGCTCTACAGACATGACTGGATTGAAGTTATTTCTCCACCATCATGTTTGCTGGTCAGTAACACCACCCTCCCTCTTTTCGTGATGTTAGACTCTCTATAGTTTGCGTTGTGAATATTGCCTTAATCAAAGCACATTGTTGGAATACATTGTCTCTACTAGTTCCACGTCACAAGTAAATCAGATAATTAAAGCAATTGTATTATGGGTTAGACATCCATTTAGTATATCACACTGCTATGAAGATAAATAATGGTAAAAGTAAAAAAACAGGTTAGATTATATGTGGTTTAATGATGGTAAGACTAGTGGCAAATCTTTGGTTATGAAAGATTGTAAGATTGTAAAATTTTCAAGGTAAGAAAAATAAGACATTGAGAAACTCACAAGAACTTAGAAACATTCATCTCTATGTAAGTGAAGTTATATGGACGCTAAATATTTCTTCCATAGACTTTATCAAATAGAACAGATAAGCTTTCTAATCATGAGTCAGTTGAAGCTAGACCACCACTGAAAACCTGGAAGCACTGGACGGCCGTTTCATCCTAGTATGGGACTCCTCAGCAGTGCGCATCCACGATCCCGCACCACACGGGGCTCGAACCCAGGACCAACTGGCTTCGCGCGTGAGCACTTAAACACTAGACCACTGAGCCGGCATCCAACGGTGTTAATGTCTAACTTCAACCAATCCACTCAGTTGCGCCACCATACACCATTGTCTTCAGTGCGTTCCTATCTCACAACAGACCTGGTTGAACTCCACTGGTAACGGCTTCTCATTAGAACTTCGGGAGTTTCTCCTGAAGTCAGTCACTAGTGAGCAGTTGATTATTATCAAAATGGGTTTTGTGGAGATTTTAGAGATTTCACAGATTGAAATCATGAGTGAGTTGAAGCTAGAGTTTGGCGTTACTGACCAGCAAACATGATGGTGTGGAGATAACTTCAATCCACCCATGTCTGTAGGGCAGAACATTTTGTTTAATTACGGCTCATTATGGTTTAGTGGGATGTCACGAACTTATGGTATTGAAGCTGATTTATCACGCAAAATACCTCTTTAAATCGTGTTACAAATGTTGAATTGGTTTCACTTCCTACTCAGAAATCCTATTACAAGCAAACTAGAAATTCGCTAATATACGAAGCCTACTCAAGACCCTATAATACCTGAAAAAATAATAATACAAAAAAAAGAAAGGGGCTCTAATAGCTTCGATAATAAAAGGAAGATAGCCAATTGTATATCACAATACTGTTTCTAACACTATATTTTATTTTATAATCACACATAATCGTATACTTTCAGCTCTTTTCCGAATCGCCTCCATTTGTCATTCGTACGTCCACTCACACCTTCTTAACACTTATTTTCTTTAACCTATTAAAATGCTCTTTCTTAACATATACCTTAATAAAAGAAAACTAGACTGAGTAATCATACCTTAAACATTCCTTCATGAATATTGGCTACTCTGCCTCTCATGTTTTCTTCTACTTGCTCCCTCTTTCAGCCCCCTTGAGATATGGAACTGGTGACTTCATCCTGCACCATCCTTAAAGCCTTGAATATCCCAAAGAGAC